CAACCCTGGGAAAACTAAAATCTGCAAAAAAATACATAGGTTTTGCAAAAAAAATAACAAACCCCTTTGGAAAAAAAACTTGGAAAAAATGGTAAAAAATATTAAATAAATGCTCCCCCTTTGGGGGGTTTTTTTTCCCATTTTTTTTTTTTTGGTTTTTAAAATTGTACACATTAACAAAGTTTAAAAAAAAAAAAAGTCTCAAACAAATAAAAAAAGGCCCCATTTTTTTTTTTTTTTCCCCCCACAGATTTTTTTTTTAAAAATCTTGTTCCCTCAAAAAAAAAATGGGGGTTAACGAAACTGTCAGAAACAAAAATAAAAGTTGGAAAAAGTTTTTTTTTTTTTTTTTTTTTTTCCGAAAAGAAAAAAAAAATTTTCCCCCACCCATTAAAAAGTTTTTACCAAAGTGGCAAAAAAAAGGCCCCTTTTTTTAAAAAGGGGGACCAGTAAATAAAATGAAATTCAAGAAAGGCCCCCAGGGAGCCTTTTTTAAAATTTGGGCCCACCATAGGGGGGGTTTCCCCCCCCAAAAAAAAAAAAAAAAAATTTTCTAAAAAACTTTTAACAGAATAACAAAAAACCCTGGGTTTTTATCCCAAATGGCCCCCTTTTTAAAAAATCCCCCAAACCCCTTTGCCACCAAAATGTTTCCCTTTTTTTGTTTTAATATTTTTTTTTTTGGAACTTTAAGTCCTTTAACTTTTTTCAAAAAAAGGCAAAAAAAACCCCTTTTGTTTACAATAAATTAAGGCCCCCCCCACCCACCAACATTACTTTTTTCCCAAAAATTTGTGGGGAACCTTCTAAAAGGGGGGGATTTTTTTCCCTTTTCAGAATTTTTCCCCACCCTTTTTTTTTTTTTTTTTTTTTCCCCCCAATATAACCCTGTAAACGCGTTAAACTTTTTGAACAAGCCCCTTCCGTTAAGTAAAAAAATTTGGTTTTGGTTGGGTTTGTCAATTTTTAAAAGGGAAAGAATTAGGAAATTTTTTAAATCCTTTGCCCACCCGGCCCAAAAACCAAACAAAAAACGGGTTTGGCCCCCCCCCTGGGTTTTTTTTTTTTTAAATTCCCCCCCTTTTCAAAAAAATTTCCCCGCCTTTTTTTTTCTCCCCCCACTTTTAAAGAATTTCCCTTTTTTTAACTTGAACCAAAAAGAAATTTAATAAAATGGCGTCCAAAGCAAAAAAAAAATGCTTTTTTTCCCAAAAATTCCTTTTGAAGCCCTTTTTTTTTTTTTTTAAAAGCCTTTCTTCTGTTTAAAATGCCTTTTTTTTACACAAGGGAAATTTTTTGGAAAACAAGTGGGAACAAGAGGTTTTTTGTGCTACCCCGACAAAATTTTATTTTTTAAATAACCAGTTTTTAGAGGCAAGAAAATTTTTTTTAAATTCTCTTTCTTTTTTTTTTAAGCCCTAAAAAAAAACCTTTTGACCCCCTTCCCCACAAAAGGTGTTAAACTTTTTTTTTTTGCCTTTTTTTTTTTTCTCGGAAAAAAGAAAAATAGAAAAAAAACGCTTTTTGTTTTTTTTTTTTAGTTTTTTTTTTTTTTAAAAACCAAAAAAAGTTTTTAATTTATTTAAACTTTTTTTGCAAAAAAATCAAACCCAACTTGTGGATTTTGGGAAAAATTTTTTTTTTTTTTTTTTGTTGGCCAAAATTTTTCCCCATTTTCTACAACAAACACTAAAACAAATTTAATAATGAAAAGGTGAAAAAGCCCCCAAACTTTAAATTTTTCAGAAAAAGAAAAAAAGGTTAAAAAAATGTGCAAAAAAAATTTTTTTAAAAACAACCCCAAACCTGTTTTTTTTGAAATTTTAAAAATTTTAAAACTATTTTTTTTAACTTTGAAAAAGAATTTTGGGGTAAAAATTTGTTTTTTTCAAATATTTTAAAATGCCTTCTTTTTGCCAAATTTAAAATGGCCCTTTGTTTTTTTTTTTCTTAAAAAAACTTTCCAAAAACTTAAATTTTTTTGGCCTTTCTTTTCCCTTTTTTTTCATTTTTTTTAATTTCAAATTCTAGATTTTTAAAAATTTCAAGGTTTAAAACTGGGGACCCCAGGAGGTGGGAATTTAATTTAGTGAAACCTTAAAAAAAACTCCTTTAAACCCAAAAACAAAATTTTTTCCCCCCAAACATTAAAAAATAAAATGTTCTTTTTTTTGGCTTTTTTTGAAAAAAAAAAACAGCAAAATTTTCACTTTTGCCTTTTTACCAGTTTTTCCTTAAAAAGTCAAAATTTTTTCAAAAGGCAAAAACGTAAACTTAAACGAAAAAAGCCATGGGTTTTTGTGGTTTTTTCTTTTTCCCTCCAAACAAAAACAAAAAATGCCAGCCCCGCAAAAAAAGAAGGAAGAAAAAAAATTCAAAAAAAAGTTAAACCAAAAAAAAAACTTTTTTTTTTTTTTTTTTTTCAAAGTGTAATTTTTTCCTTTTTTTCATATTTTTTTTGGGGTTGACTTTTTCCCCGTAAATAAGTTTTTTTTTTTTTTTTTTTTAAAAGGGGTGCAAAAAACAAAAAACAAAGCGGTTTCAAAAAATCAAATCCCAAAACAATTAAATATTAATGCAAGGAATGTGCCCCCTCCTTGTTTTTTTTTTTCCCCCATGTTTTGGGCTTTTTAAATATTCCCAAAGCCCCAAAAAATTTTTTTTGCCAAAAAACCGTCAAAACTTTTTCCTCTTTTTCTTTTCCTTTTTTTTTTTCCTGAAGGAGGTCCCCTTTTTTTTTGGGAAATTGCCTTTGTGGTCCCCATTTTTTTTTTTTTTTTGTTACTTTTCCCCCCTTCCCAAAAGTGTTTTTTTCCAAAGGAAATACGGGACGCCCGCTTTTAAAAAAAAACCAAATTTTTTGGTTTTTGGCATTCCCAAATTAAAAATTTTTAGTGGTTTTGGACCTGTTTTTTTTTTAATAAAATTGAAAAACCTTGCCGGAACAGAGAAGAAACCAAAATTTTGATGGAGGAAAAGTAAAAATGCTTTTGATTGCCAAAAGGTTTGGTTTTTAATTGTTTTGTTTTTTTTTAAATCAGCTTTTTTTTCTTCGAAAAACAAAAAAATGGTTGCGGCTTGGGCCTCGGTTTTTTTCAAATCCTTTTGAAAAAAAAAAGAGAAGAAAAAAAAAAAAAAAGTTTTTTTTTTTCTGTTTTTTTTCTTGATTTTTTTGCCAAAAAACTTTTTTTTTGGAAAAAGGGTTTTAAAAAAAATTAAATGTTTTAATTGAAAAGTTGGGTTTAATTTTCCAAAACCCCAAAAGAGCCCATCTTTTTTCTTTTTAAAAGGTTTTTCCAAAAAAAACGGCGTTTTTTCTTTTTTGGAAAAATTTTTTAAGTTAAAGAACCTTTTTTCTTTTTTTTTTCAATACGGTTTAAGAAAGAAACCCCAATTTTTTTTTTACTTTTTTTTCCACTTGGGCCCCCAGCTTCCTTCCTTCCTTTTTTTTTTTTTTTTTTCCCGCAATTTGATTTTTTTTTTTGACCAATTCATAAAGCTGTTGCTTGTAAAAGATTTTAAATGAATTCCAGAGTCTAAAATCAAGCTTTTTTTTTTTTTTTGCAAAATTTAATTCAGTAAAAAAAAATTGCCATTTTTTTTTTTTTTTCCCCCTTATCAGAGGCTTTTGCAAAAAAAAACACCTTTTTTTAAAAGGCCTTTGTTCCAGGTCAAAACAACGTCCGCTTT